ATGCTATATTGTACTATGATATACTATATGGGGTTTATATTGTATCAACATATACTATATTGTACTATGATATGCTATATTGGGTTTATACTATATTGTAATATACTATACTGTACTATGATATACTATATGGGGTTTATATTATATCAACATATACTATATTGTACTATAATATACTAAATTGGTTTTATACTATATTATAATATACTATACTGTACTATAATATACTATATTGGGTTTATACTATATTATAATATACTATATTGTACCATGATATACTATTTTGGGCTCATACTATATCAAAATATGCTATATTGTACTATGATATACTGTATTGGGTTTAGGGTTTAGGGATCTGACAGGGGACGCTACCCATTGGGGTAATAGTAGGGTTATGTTGGTGTTATATTGGTATAATGGAAGATAAAATGGAAACTACTATTTAGGGTTTAGGGTTTAAAAGGCTGACAAGAGCCGCCGTCTTTGCTGAATCACGGGAGGAGGGTCCCGGCACCAGCACCATTGCCAGCACACAGACGTTTTGTCTTACCGTCATGATGATGGGGATGGACGATCATGAAGATGATGTTGGATCCTTAACGAACTGGCAATCGAAAAGCAGATCATACTATCACCGGCATCCTCTCAACAACTAAAAGGGGGGAGGGTTGATCTAGAGGTCCTTACTGGGAAAGTACAATCCTGTCGGCTACACGGGAGATCCCAATAGAAGATACCCCTATGCAATCCCATAATAGTTTCCACGTTCTTTTCCACTATCCCTACATGACCTTTCCATAATCTGCATTTTAGGGGCAGGGATTTGGATCAACTATACCCTAAACCCTTAACCCTAAAACCCAAACCCTAAGCCCTAAACCCTAAGACCTAAACCCTAAACCCTACTACAAGCGGCAACCTTGCCTCCACTTGCCTTTGCAAGCGGCTGATCTCCTCGAATGAGAGGCTGGTGCCTTGTGAGGGCTTCACAGCATGCATCTGAAGGCGATCTGAAAGCTGCTAATGGCCTGTGTCTGCTGGAAGTGGGTTTAGGGGTTTAGGGGTTTAGCGGTTTAGGGGTTCAGGGTTCAGGGGTCTAGGGTTTAGGGGTTTCGGGTTTAGGGTCATGGAAGTCGAAAGAAAGGCCCAGGCGTATACTTTTATGAAGGCTCAGAAGCTCAAAGACACATGTCAATCCAGCATCCTGCAAACTACTGGACCTTGGCAAGAACGCATAACCATGTTCTTTAGCTGCCAACCTTGGCCCTAAACCCAAAACCCCAACAACTCGCCCAGGGTCTCACTGAGCAAACCTACTTTCATCCCCGTCGACTCAGGTCTGCCCTCAACTTTTCAGCGCGAAGAGACAATGCCATACTCGCAACACCAACCTTTCTGAGCCTTAGCTGCCCCAGCTGAGCCAAGTACACGCCTCAAAGCTGGAACCTTGACTCCCCGAGACTGGACTGTCTCAAACCAACATCTCCAAAACCTTCGGCATAAAAAAAGTCATACGTCCTTTGGCAACGTAATAACCGCTTGGCCCAACATCTCTAAACCGTCGCCGCTGAACTGTAGGCTGACATCCTCAGAATCATGGCCACGACCATCTTCCGGTACCCAAATGGTCCATGTAGGGATATCGTATATACTTATTGCCCAAAGGGTTTCTCACATACCTACTTTGGGACCCGTGTATATACTCTACAGGAACATGGACCCCTTGAGGTAGCTTGCAGAAAATGGCCCATATCCTTGATACCTCCAAGCTTCACTAAGCCAGCGACTGTGAGGATGGGTTCCGGAGACTTCCCTGGAGCCTCCGAGCGAGAAGCTCTCCTGGATAATCTTCAGGCGACCCAAGTTGTAAGCTTTAGGGTTTGGAGTTTAAGGTTTAGGGTTTATTAAACCCTACCCCTCAAACTTTAAACATTTAGGGTTTAGGGTTATCACTCCCCATGGGTCCAAGGACTCAAACAATTGGGTTTTGGGGCTCAAGCACTATAATCTGAATGGTATGTGGGACCCAAAGCACTGACATTTGGGTACTTGGACCATTAGGGACCACTGTTTAAGCACGAGCACTACTTGTATGATCAATACTCCTAACGTTGACATGGCTACTACCTTCTTCAGGAGTGAAGAGGAGAACAGAATCCATACTCCATGCTATTGCGCTGCTTGTAGCAGAAACATGTTTTTTTAGGACACAAACGGTAAGAAAGCTGTCGTGCTACACCAAGGACCGGAAAACGTGCAGATAGCCTAGCATTGGCTTCAAAAGCTGTCCAGGAACCTCGAACCCTTTGCGTCCTGCTCCGGCATGGCAGACTCTGTCGACTTCGCAGGGTTGAATTCCCGAGACCTGATCGAAGGAGGTCGAGCAGTTGCAACTGCAAAGCCTTATGAAAGCATTTTCTGCCAGAGACTTCATGAACTCTAGCCGCTGGCCCAACCACCCCGCCCCCTCGAGTGCATACACACTCTACGGACCACGGACCTGTGAGAACTACATCGCACCAATCTGAGGCATGGGCTGCTCTTGCTGCGCAGCCTCGGTCTTCAACCTGGCTAGGCATGCCAGCTACAACACAGATGCAAACCAAGTTGCTGTGACCTCTACAACAAGCTGGGCAGTGCTATGCAGGAACATCGTGTGCGGGAACGACAACGGCTTGATGTGGCAAAGTAGCCAGAAGGTCTACAGCAGTGACGTTTCACGTTTGAAAGCCCATGACGAAAACCATCCTCGACACAGGGCCCGATAGCAGTAGGCACGTGCATCTGGTTCTGCAGACGTCCATCTTAGTGTGAACAGCACACCAAGGAGATCTGGAACAGCTACATTGCCTGAAGCCGCTAAACAAAAGCAGCTCTTTGGTATCAGACCTCGTTCTACATGAAGCACCTGAAAAACATGTCTGGCATGCTTCTGATCCATCTTCTTGAGGAGCCGCTGGTACAAGTGAGTGCGCCGGGCCAACTCATTTTCCAAGTCCTCGTCGCATAGCATGCAATGCCACAGTGTCAGAAACCCTAAACCCTAAACGCCTAAACCTCTAAACCGATAAAACCCCTAAAAGTTAAATCCCCAAACCTTTGCTAAAAACCCGAGGCCGTCCTTGTGGATGAGGAGATTCCGACGCAGCTGGGCATTCTCTTCCAGCAGAGACTGGTTCCTAAAGGAGCTTAGAGCCTTCGGGTTTAGGGGTTTAGGGTTTAGAGCTTAGGGTTTGGGGGGATTAATGATAGGGTTTATAGGGGTCTTAGGGTTTAAAGGGATCAGGGCTGTTCGGGGTTTACAAGGTTTAGGGTTCCCAAGGCACACTCCTTACTGGTTGCTAGTAGGGAAAAAGGGAACACATTCCCTATATAACCCCTATAATATATTCCCATATTCCCTACTAACCCCCAGTAAGACTCTGTGCCGGGAGTGGTCAGGGCTTGGGAGGCAAGGGTTCAAGGATCCGTGATCAAGCCTGAATGCAGGTCAGTCAAGGCCAGGAAGTTCATTGACAAAAGAAATTGGTTCTACTCCAGGCAGCTGAATTCCAAGGATGAACTGCAGAAGAACTTCAAGGTGTAGTGTGGATCAAATGGAGGGTCCTGTTTCACAGCATACGACCACCACACCGGGAGCCTCTCTACTTACCCTGAACAGACATGCCCAGGGCAGTGCGCGGCAAACATCATGCGCAAAGGAACGTTAAGTCCTGAACAAGCAAACCCGCCTGGAAACAAACAAAGAAGTCTACCTCTTGGTTGGTATTCCGTGAGCCAGCTACACCAATCCCGCCCACGGCCAGCCTGTCCATGAGCTTCTCGGTTTCCTTGCTCTGGAAGTGGAGCTCGGTAAACTCGGCAAGCAGGGCTGGCTGGCATGTTCAGGAACATTTGTCCTAATCATGCTTCTGTAGGGAGCAAGGAGGCACGCAACGAAACCCTGACTTATTTGCAACGGTGCTGCAAGGCTGAACCAGAGGTGCCGTGCATACTAGGTCATGCTGAGTTGTACTGATCATTTGGCAGCCCTGCGAATCAAACAAGACGCGAATTTGGAGCTGACACCTGACAAGATCCTGGCAGCCGTAGCAAAGCACTGTCCGCCGCAATTGACGGGGTTTTCTTAACCGTTGAGCGGCGCAGGCAAGTGTCAATAGAGTAAGATGCCCACCATCTGCTCGTTCTCCATAATGGTTCGCTTGGTGGTGGAGTCTAGCTGGTCCTTCCAGGAACACTTCGCCTAACTCCCGCCGCTTGCAGATTCCGTACTGTGACCCAACTTTGTCCGAGACCCTGGAAACCCTTGCGCACATGAAAGCTTTCCCTAAAGGTCCAAGGACCTATACCAAACAACCTTCCAGTTGTGCTCCGACTTGCAAGATGGCCGCAATGTTCCTTGCTGCAGTCTGGAGCTCCAAAGTCCCCTTAAGTAGATAGAATATGGCTTTGTGTATGTTATAGTAAGATCTCCATATACCCCATATTTTTTATCGACTTAAGGGGGGACTATACCCCCAGGGTCCCAGGGTCCTTGGTCTTCGCCTTCAACATCTCATTGGCATCCTCCACTCGCTTGACCATGTCCTGCAATCTGGCTAGCTTCTGGAGCTTGACATCTATACCGAAGGACCCCCCGGCCATCCGTGGCCGCACGGGGCCGTGGGGAGGGTATGTGTGCATCTATCTGGAAACATATATGCTTATACCACTGTCAGTACCCCTAAGCCCTGAACCCTAAACCCTACATCCTCTTATACCACTGTTAACCCTGAAGCCTAAACCCTAAGCCCTAAACCCTAAGCCCTAAACCTTAAGCTCTAAACCTTAAGCTCTAAACCCTAAGCCCTAAGCCCTAAACCTTAAACTCTAAACCCTAAGCCCTAAACCTGAAACTCTAAACCCTAAGCCCTATATCTGAAACTTTAAACCCTATAAGCCCTAAATGCCCTCCCCAGACCCTTCTGCGACTCTGAGCCGCCGTTTCACTTACTTGTTCTTACTTAATTGGGAACATGGGAATATCGGGATATATTATGTATAAGGAGTATATATTGGGATTATACTGGGGTTATATAGGGATTATATTCCGCTATTCCTTACTAAGAACCAGGAAGTTCATCTTTTCAAAACCTGCGGGCTGATTTCGGATTTTCCGAGAATTAGGGGTATGTTTTATTCCTAGAATGATGAGGACTGTACGTTAGGTGGACCCCCCACTCTCTAATCAGGGTATAAGAGGAATGTGAAAAAACCCTAGTATAGTTACCATTAACCCCCATAATCAATATTCCCGAGTGGAGGGTTATATGCCGTGTTGAGGCATATCAGGGAGACCCCTGCTTTTGGAAACAAAGCAAATTTGGCGCAGGTGGATAGGATTGTGGTGCCGGATTTGTGGTGCATCAACAATGACATAGGGGCATACTGACTTCTGATGTGGAAGGGCTTTTCAATTGGCATCCCGAACAGGGACCATAATTTTGACAATCAACCCCCTCTCGTACAACGTAGAGGAACAGGTTTCCCATAGTTCAGGATCCTGAATTACGGGCAAGCTCTTGTCACTTGGCTACGGAAAAATGAAGCGGAGCCATCTCTATCCTTCCTAGTATGTCGGGCTACGCGCCAACTTTTATGGTCCTATGAGGTCTAGAAGTACAATCTGGCTGAATCTACCATTCTAGTTAGCAGTGATTCTGACACTCCTGCACACGATTCCATGCCAATCATGATACTAGTAAATTCAGAATCACTGCTAACGCCACGGCTACCACTCCCAGCACAGCTGTTGCAGCCGTTACTATTGTCGTCAACCCCTACATGCCGGTTTGCTAAACCCTCAACCTCTCCTTGCGGAGGTTGTCCATGTCCATGGCCTTCTTCCGGTCAAAGTCGCTCATTTTTCGGGCGAACTCCTGAGAAATTAGCTGGTTTCTGCATCTTAGACTTGAAAGTCAACTAGAATAGTGATCTGGCTGAGTCAGGAAGCATTTTAAAACAAACTATAAACCCTAAGCCCACTCAGTTTCTATGTCAGCCTCCCTGCAGCACTAAAGTCAGATGAGGGCTCTGTTGGGTATTGACTGAACCAGGATCCTCCCTGGTACCCTTTATTGAGGCTATTGGGCTATGATTGAGGGCTTAGGGCCCCTAATTAATAATGGGTGCATATCGCTAATAGCAGGTAGTCGGAGGGTCTAGGAAATAAGATTATGCCTTCATTCTTGACAACGCAACACTGACCACACCCAGAAGTACAAAACATCGCATCACCTACTATACTCTAATCTTCATGCTGTTGTACTATTCCGAATCAAACTCCTTTTACAACAGTTTAGGCATGTCAGCATGAGTCTATTTGAGGTACTCCATAACACAATTTTACAGGGAATCTGAAACCACAATATTGGTTCTATGGAGGCTCCTGTAGTGCGCGGAATCCCAGAACCTAAACCCCTTCTATACTCAGGTCATGCTGCCTCCTTCTGCTCCTAAACCCTAAGACTTACACCCTGGACTCTAAGCAGTAAAGTCTAAACCACCCTAAGTAAACCCTAAACCTAAATGAGCCCCAAAACCCTTAACCCTTTCATACTAAGGTTGCCTCGCCTCCTTCTTCTCTTCCAGCTGCTGCTTCAGCGATGCGAGTTCCTTCGATTCAGGCCCCGAAGTGGTTATTTGCTTCTTTTAGGGGTTACAGTTTTTTTTGTTGCAATGCCCTTTCTCCGCACGCAGAGACTGTCCAGTCGGACTATGCGAAAGAAAACTCAAGCCCTCTCTCAGCAGAGCGACGGGACAACGTTGTTGGTGTTCAGGAGTTACAGTTTAGGTCTTAGGGTTTAGGGTAGGATGTAAGGAGTTTTAGTTTTAGGCATGTATAGGGGGATATTGTGCATGTTGTGGTGTTTGAGGTGTACGGATTAGCAGTGATTAGCTGTCTTACCATTGTGAAAGTCTTTTGCAACCCAAAGTTCTTTCTACCTCGGAAACATTAGGTAATGCAAGTTTTTGTGCACTCACAATATGGCACAGCAATGAGGCGGCTTAGGGTGATGCATTCATGTTGGGTCAACCCGATGCATGCAGGATATGATGCGCCGATCCTATCCTCAGGCGTGCTACGGGTTAGGGGTTGAACTGGAGCTTGAGAAGCTACAGATGGGATACAGTGTTTCGGCTTTAGTCGCCGGGTCAGTATCTGCTTACTGTGTCCACCCTGTGCTCCCCAGCGAAGACTTTATTAGTTGAGGAATACTTCGTGAATCGTACTATGGTATCGTTTAAGGTGTCTTCAAGCTCAATTGAAGTATTACTGGCCTTCTGAGGCCATAGACTTGCACCATTCAGCGCTCCTTCTCCATGTTTTCTTTGTCCCTCTGGAACTCGCGCACCTGCATACACAGCGAATGCAGAATGCGCGTCAACTTTCTTGCGAAACAGCGAGTTCCAGAATCCATCACCGTTTTCGGTATACTACATGCCCCACAATAAGGTTGTGCGTGTGTAGTATATCTCACATGATCAGGCAGAAGTGAAACCAACCTCTCGGAGCTGACTTTCCAGATCTTCTTTCTGGGTCTTCAGCTTGGCTATGTCGTTGTCTTTCCTGGCTCAGGCGCAGGGGCTAACTATGGGGACGGAAAACTTGGCCAACATGTAGGAACTTTTTATGGACTTGCGGTCTCCATGTAGGCCTAAACCCTACACCCTAAACCCGTACCCTAAACCCTAAACCCCTACACCCTAAACTCTAAACTCATTATGTATTGACAAATTTGCCCCTGGGTTTCAGGATTCTGTAGAGACTTTTGCCTTGCACTCCTGGCCCCAAGCCTCTCCCGTAGGAATGTGAGCTAGTCTAAACTCCTGAAAGGGGGTAATATAGGGGATGATATAGGGTTTAGGGTTTAGAGTCTAAACTATTTGAAGGGGGATATACAGGGGAGTATTATAGTGGCTACGAAGGGAATGTTTAGTCTATGGCTCATGTGCACATACGAAGAACGGGTGACCCGTGCACTGTGCCTGCAAAAAGTTGGCAGGCTAAAGGGAAGATTGTCAAAATTCCGGGCCCCTCCTTGGGGTCCCTATTGCAATACAGCCCTAATTTTCAGGGTCTCCAGAAGGGTCCTAGACCCTAAACCCTCAACCTCAGACCCTAAACCCTCATTGGCTAATCAGTCTGACATTCTGAGCCCTTGGCAAGGCCATTTCCTTGTCTAAGTCATCCTTTGCCTGCTGCTTCTGGTCCTGGGCGCAAAAGGGTACGGTAGGTGCCTAAATAACATCAATAGGGTGTTAGGGTGTACCATACTCAGGAAATATGTATTCGGGCTAAAGCGTGGCCATGGATTGCTAACTGTTCCGGCTCTTGCAATTGCAAGATTCGAATTCCTTCAGCAATCACCCTAAACCCTAAACCCTAAACCATTTTTTTGTTATCGCATTAGCTCTCAGGCTCCCACATCCAGCATCTGCTCTAGCCTTTGCACGAGCACAGGGCACATTTCAGACTGGCGAAAGCACAGAAGAGAACAGAAATATGGCTGAGTGTATGTTTTCTTGGGTTGAAGGTTTGCTGTCCTCACTTGGGCGTTGCAGCTGTATGCGCGGTTTGACATCGGTAGACTCATCGGCCGGAGACGACATGTCAGATTATGTAGGCTCTCACTTGAAGACGCGAACGCATTCATCGAAACCAGCGCTGCCCTGCTTGTCCCAACATATCATCTGTATAAGGACAATATACGGCGATTATGTTGGTGTTGATGACCACAACAGCCCCATTCAGGATTTGCCGCTAAAGAGCTCGAGAATTCTTCGCTCGTGCCGCTCTATAGTGGCGTAGTTGTCCTCGAGGTTGGAATGAAGAGTCCTGCAGGCCACCATGGGACATTCGGGAGTTTCCTAAAATTAAGGGAACCCTTTCGGGGGTCCTTATAACAAGGATTTAAGTACTTGGGGGCCTATATTGGGGTCCCGTAATTTTGGGAAACTACAATTTAGGTCGAGCAGCAACGGCCACTAGGGTGTTTCAATTTGGTTCCCCCTGATAACCTCAAAGCAATGTAAACCCCATGGTCTGGATCCCTAAAGTTATACCCCCACAATTCTGCTATATAGGGCTTATACTGGGATAATGGAAAGCAAAATGGAAACTCCTGCATCATAGTCTGGGTTGCTGCTAAGGACCTTAATGTAAGTTACTATATTTGGGGAGCCATAATAATTACTATATATATATATATACATACACGCATTCTGGTAACTTAAGTTAAGTTCCTTAACAGCAGCCTAGCAGTAGAGTACACATTCGAACCCATCCTGAGGATGTCAGCTTGTGTCTCGCACTGCGAGGTGTACTGCGTCTGCAAGATGGAGTTGTTAACCTGGCTGCTCTCCAAATGCGCCATGGTTTCACCTACTACCCTCCCCTATACTACCCCTTAATCAACCTTAATTAGGCTTGATTACAATACCCCTAAATAACCTTAATTGCGCCGGGAACCTATGTGGGGTCGTGTAGGGGGGCGGGGGGGGCGAAGGAGAATGAATCTGCCAGCCCATGGTAAACAAGGCGTGGTCTATTGAGGTACCCTATACCATCTTACAAGAGAAACCTGGGACCATAATTTGGTAATTCTTCAGGCCCCTGTACTAATCCCTTCCCGTCTATTATTGAACCCTCCACCCCCCCAATAGAAAATGAAATGCTAAATGCTCCCAATATATCATAATATACCGCATACTGGGAGTATCTTTAATATTCGGGGCGGGGGATCCCTAGAAGGGACCCCTAATCTCAATACCTTATACAGCTGTTATATAGGCCTTGTATACCCCTTCTATAACAAGGTAGTATCCCTATTACCCCCAATAAGCTACAAGGGTCCCAATTAAGGGTCCCTCCAAAAGCCCCTAGACAGCTACTTGTCAGTGCGCTGAACGGCGGCCTTCAACTCCTTGTTTTCGGATTCGAGCCGCCATACCTTAGCGATAGGGCCAAAGGGTTTAAGGGGTTAGGGTTTAAGGTTTAGGGTTTAGGGGATAAGGAGAAGGCCGATGATGCATCATATTCATATTGGAGAACTATATGAGGCTTGTGTAGGTATAATGGAAGAGACAATAACGGTAATATAGGGGAGCTCTATAGGGCTTATATAGGTATAAAGGAAACAAAAAAGGAAGCTACTGTATTCTAATAGGGTATATACATATATATATATATGTGGGTAGCACTTGGGGGTCCATATTCGGGGTCCCGCTATGCATGGAAACTACCATGTCTGGCCGCCGCTGTAGGACTCCGAGTCAGGTGCCGCTGCGTAAATCACTACGCATGGAAGCGGGCAGTAGCGATAACATGCTGCAGGGTCAACTTGCTGGTTCCTAGTAGGGAATAAAGGAATAGATTTTATAGGGATTTTAAAAAGGGAATCTATTCCCTCTTTCCTTACTAAGAACCAGTGAAGCGAAAAAAGGACACAGGCAGACTTTGTAGACCATAGTCACAGGAACCTCTCTGACTGATCATGATCCGCTCGTGGCATCTCACATCACCAATTGCTTGGAACAGCCCCACGCTCCTTCTGATTCAGGTTGTATAACACCCTAATCCTTCTGATTCAGGTTGTATAACACCCTAAACCCTAAACCCAGAACCCTAAACCCTAAACCGGTGCCTCTCAACCTAATCGCAACGTAAGAAAACCCTGGGCCCATGCAACCCTCAGCCTGGAACCCCATGAGTCCACGGCCCTCTCCTGCAGTTTGCGGAGGGTGAAGTGCTCCTTGACCTGCTTTAGGGTTTAGGGTTTAGGGCTGCTTGATGTCTACTTTGGGCCTTGGGAAGTAAATAGAACATCCTTGAAGTAGATAGAACATGGGGGATATCGGGAACTCTAGGTCAGGTTGCGAGGAAACCCACAGCGAGATCTAGGCTTGAAGAGTCACAGTTAAAGGTTGAAAGAGATGTAGAGGCGTAAGCCTGTAGGGTTGAGGAGCTGTGGTCCCTGAACCCCTGCTTTTCCGGGTTGTGTCCTACATATTCATACAGTATATTGCGTACTGCCCCCACCCTGTACAGTCCATATGCGGGTCATATTAAGGGCTACATATAACTACTTTTAGAAATACTAACTAAACCCTAAACCCTAAACCCAATTGTTACAGAGAAGGAAGGGGTCCAGGTTTGGATCCAGGTGAAGCTTGGTGCGATTGGTCAACGGTATTCCGGCATGGTTTGCCTGATGGCGTCATATGAGCCTTTGTCTACACTCCTAGTATCCCCTTAATAACCCCTATATAATCCCCTATATAACTCCCTTTTAAGGAGTTCAGATTATGGCTCATATAAAAGTTAGTACTCTTCCTAAATTGGCCAGAAGGAAGTTAGCATTTTTTGGTTAGGACCCCCCTTTTAAGTAAGTGCATTCCCCACCCTAAGGCTGAACCCTAGACCTCAAACACCGCATACAGGTATGTGCAGCTGATAGGCTGTGGCTCAATGGCTCGTATCTACAGGGGTAGATTGCCATATACAAAGAATAAGTGGGGATGATGTAGGGATTCTATCGAGATCATGCCAGGATCCTATAGGTTGGAAACATCTTAATCTGCCCGTATTGGACTGAAGCGCGCCAATGCCAACTGTCTCTAGGGAATTCTGAGGAACCCTAAGCCCTAAACCCGAAACCCCAAACCCGAAACCCTAAACCAACATTCAGAACCATCAAGATTTCCTCCACATAGTTGAGGCTTATGTCCAGAAATCCTAAACCCCAAACCCTATAAACCCTATTGAAATGGAGCTGCAGCAGCAGGGGTTCCTGGAAACCCAACATGAGAGACCTGAATAAGCCCCCCCAAAAAAAGATCCTATCGTTAACCTGTTTCTATATAAGGTTTAGGGTTTAGAGCCTAGCGTAACCCTGAGCCTAAGCCAGAAACCCCCTAAACCCACAATCCGAGCGGGTGCAGCTTTATCACCAGACCCTATCAAAACCATACAACAAACGGAATTGCCGGTCCTACTTGGGACTGGGGCCCGAATATAGACCCCAAACATTGTAATCCTTACGATGGGGACCCCAAAAAGGTACCCCGAAGTTTGGAAAACCCCCCAATGTCAACCCTCTGGCCTGGGAGGTCTCAGGCTTCCTTTTCTTATACAGATCCTATGCCCCAGGCAACTTCAAAACAGAGGCCCCAGAACGGTGTCAGGCACTCGGTTAACTGGGTTGCTGTCAGGGAACTTACATTGAGCTACCAGAATGGGTATATGTAGTACTTAACAAGGTTCCCCCAATGCAGTAACTTTAATTAAGTTCCTTAACAGCAACCCAGTTCATTAGGTAGCCAACCAAAAGGAGAGCTTGCCTAGTCTCTTAACACAAGGTCACACTGCAAGTGGCCTGCACCCTATTGAGGGTATGTCGCAGGCAGGGCCCTAAACGCTAAACCGTAAATTCGCTTGTTTATTCTTCTGTCTTCCCAAATGGACACCCATAATTGCACTCGCCACTAGTCTTGGGAGCCCGGTATGCATCCACCTGAAAACCGCTGTGCAAAAAACAATCTTTTGCATACTTTTCTCGCAAACCCACATAGCCCTCACCTGCTGTACTAGCAGAATGATACTACTCGGGCCAAAACAGCGATTACATAAAGAATGTTATTGCCCCTCTTTAAACTTCGGTGAAACTTGCTCACCAATACTACAAGTCTCTTGCAGGGAGAGGGTAACCTGTAGGAAACGTGATTCGCGGCTTGAACCCAAAGCCCTAGGCGCCTGAACCCCTAAACTCCTGTATGGCTGGTTTTTACCCATGTAAAACCTCTGCATGACCCTTAACCCTAAAACCGTAACCTCTCCATCAGCCCATAAATGTCTGTCTGATCCCTGAAGAGGCAACTTCATGGCCTCTTCCGTCCGAGGATCTGGATCCATCCTGAAGGACCCAAACATCCAAGGAGCCAAGTAATTAGGGTTTAAGGTCTAGGGGGTTTGAAGTTTAGGGTTCATGTTTTAAAGGGGGAAGGGATCCTTGTAACACTCCCAATATAATTGCATCAGTGTCCTCGCAACTGAGGTAGTATAAAACTGCAGTAGGGGGACCCCGGCATGAACCCCAGCTAGTCTTTGTTCCTCATTCTAACGACCCACCAAAAACTATCCCTAATTTTGGGAGCCCCCAAGTCTTATTCATAGATCAAGGATTGAGGTTCTGGATGCGGCATCCCAGAGAAGCAAACCTTTGGCATGTAGCAGAACAGGACTCCGGCAAAATGCTGATTTGTGCAAAGCCAGTAGAATCAGCAATAATGATAACAACAGTAGTAATAACAAGAATAGTAATAGTAACAAGACTAGCAATAATAACAACAAGAATCCCAGCAATTCGAGGTGGTTCCATGTTTGTTAGCGGGGCGCCTTGCGGACCTTGAGGAACTCTGCATCTTTCAGCCACATTACTTACTGCTGGCTTGAAGCCTTACCCAAAGGGTCCAAGTACTTATATGATAATCATATAATGACCCAAAACCTGTACTGCAATTACTATTGCCCTAAGCCCAAGTCCCTAATTATTGGGTACTTGGAATCTCTGAGTTAGTGCTCCAATGCCGGGAGACTCGCGAGGACGCTGGGCTCGGGGCGTGACGCCGAGGGATCTCGAGGAGCGGCGCTGTGTTGAAGGCTTGCTATAGCTGCTCTGTGAGGTGTGGGGGGGTTATGTGGCAGCAAGCTGTGTGCCGTGCTATGCCGCAACTACTGCGAGGATGCTTTTGGGGATCTAGGGCTTGCTCGGGCAGTGGCAGTGTGCCACGCCGTTTATAAAACCCTCTTGGGCGGCTACCCGAACAGTGAGATGTTTCTGACTTGCTTGGTTCTGCGCTACCTCCTCCCCTGGCAGATCTCGGACAGCAGCGCGCTTTGCAGTGCAGGAACTGTGCTTGATAACTTGGCATCCTTAAGGTACTCCCCTCAGTGCGGGGTATCATGCGGACAGTGGAGACTCGCAACTTCTATCTAGAGCACTCTGTACACCAGCCCTTAGGCCTATCAGAGACAGGGAAGAGTCAGAGTGGCCCTGCCATGACAGAAAGAATTTGAAAAGTGCAACTTTGCTTCACATTTAGCTATTGCAAGTAGCTATGGTATTGACATGTACTGACACGGCTTGAGAACCTTCGTTGAGTCTTAGCATTCTTCTTTACGCTGAGTTTAAGCCTTCGCCAACTGACACTTGAAGTAGAAATCCTAAATGCTTGATATTGATATTCTCTTGAGATGGTGGTTTCTCACCTCACGGAGGTCCTAAGGATATACAGGGATTCTGCAAGGACTATAATTACTATAGTCCCCATGTTATGTTTGCCGATGACTCAACAGCTTTTTGTCCTCCTTGTACCTTTCGGGCGGAATCCTGGCTGCTCCATGCCGTGGGCCGAAACGGCCCTCGAAGAAGGAGGGGTCGATGCAGGGAGGCGGGTAGGCGGAGGCCCCCGAGTCCGCAGCCTCCTGATAAGTCATGAGCCACCTGAGTGGTGTTCTTTTTGGTGGTTGAACCTAGTAAGATTATCTTCCTTATATAAACTACTATACCCCAAAAGGCGGATATAATCTTACTCTATATTGGGGACCATGGTATCCCCAAATAAACTACTACTCACCTGGGCCAGAGAACTGGGGGAGACTGGTGTCAGCACTGGCTAAAAACACTCTAGAAGAAAATCGATAACGGTACCTTGTACTTGGGGAATTATCGTATTCTTGTATATTAGGGTCAGGCACGACCTTGAGTACAAGCAGCAGCAAGCCTGAATAATCATAATCATCATAGAAGTAACATCTGGCAACAATCCTAATAGGGATAATGCAAGTCGAGTGTGAAAACTGATACTACTAGCAATAGTAACAGTAATATAAAAGAATGCTGGCAACAATCACAATAATGTGCATAATAACAACAATATTGCGATTAATAATACTAGTACTGACATAATAACAATGATAGCAATTGGAAGAATATAGGCTCAGGACCCGACGGCTCATGGATCAACTCCGAAGCCACCTGATCAGGCATGTCTCAACAGTGGCGGTAGGCCTTGGTCCCAGCGAAGGGCTCATAGGGATGTATTCAAAGTAGGGGAAGACTCGACCAGAGCGGTGATTACATGAAAGGTGTAAGCGCCCCTTGTTTTAGCCAAAGCGTCACTAGGCACTAATTAGACCATCTGGCCTCACCGCCTCACCCAACAGCAAACATCTTCGGGTTATGTCGGCCTAGAGAAGTAGCCGTGAGCTTCAGAGGGAAACAACAGCGGCGCAAAAACGGGCAGAGGCCCTAAGATCGAACAATTTTGAGAAGCCTCCCACGAGATTACCAGGTCCTTGAGGAGGGTTGTTCAAGGAAGGTAGATACCTAGATAACCCTAAACCCTAAACCCATTGTAGTAGTTTCCATTTTCTCTTCCATTATCCCAATATACCCCCAATATAACATACTTGCCAGCACTCCCTAGCCCTGCCCTGCTTGGACCCCGCTAAAGGACCGGGTAAAGGGATGATAATGTTGTTACTAAACATCCTGCATTGCCTTAGTATACTATAGTACTACTTGTATTATTCCCAAGGTATAAGGTACTTAGGGTCATGCAGGATATTTAGTACCCACCGTATATAGAGACTGCGGAGCCGCAACATAAACGGACCAGGGACCATAATACTTTTGAGGACAATCCAGCCGGGAGGCTTTTAATTGTTGATCCGCCGTGAACATCCTGCAGAGGGACCCCCATAATCCCGAAACAGCCCCTCTCTCGGCACAAATCTTGTAATATTCTATCCCGCATGACTCCTGTGAAGGGACCCACATTATCCCCAATTTCACTTAAAGCCGCGCTTAAAAGACCTCAGGATACCCCGCTTTACCTGCAACCCTTTCTCTAAGGTTGAAAGCATGGGCCCCTGGCATGGGCCCCTAACCCTGGGATACTTTTATGCCTTCTAAAAACCACAGAATGTACCCTGAACATCCCCTCAAAGGCCTTTACGGCCCATACCAGGGGCCCATACTTCTAACCTTATAGACGAAACCCTAAACCCGCAAAAACCCTAAACCCCATAAACCCTGTAAACCCTAAACCCTAAAAACCCTATCAACCCTAACAACCATAAACAACACTAAAAACACCATAAACCCTAAACCCTATAAACCCTATATACCCTATAAAGTCTATAAACCCTATAAAGTCCATAAACCCTATAAACCCCATAAATCCTAAACCCTCACCCCGTTAAAGGGACTTAGGCCGAACCTGGTCCAACTCTGGCAGCCAGCGCTTCAGGTACACTCCCTCGGGATCCAGCTTTTGTGACTGCTTCACCTCGGAGTAACAGGGCTGAGGGCTACAGAATTTAGGGCTTAGGATTTGGAGTTTAGGGCTTAAGGTTTAGGAATTTTTTAACACCAGAGGACGTTTACGTCTGCCGAAGCACTGGTGGTTGGAATACTGCACATCAAGGGCAAAGCTGCAACCCGTAAGAAGGTTTAGGATTTAGGGCTTAGGGTTTAGGGTTTGGGTGTTCGGGGTTTGGGATGGATACGTGTGGGAAACACATGCATCTTCAGAGGCCTTTTTGAGAATGTCTTAGTCGTTTCTTTGTGGTGGGACTAAGTACGAATATTTATTACCTTCCTTGCTTGTGTAAGCTCTTAGACCGTAGCATCACTATTCACTCACAGTAACCTTGGATGGATCATACATTGACTGAGGGGCACAGGTTTGATCCTCTGAGGGAATGTACTGGAGATTGTTTTGCTTTGTAGCCCCCCAAGAAATTGTAGGATGTCATTTGTCGTCAAGGAGGCAAGGACATCCGCAAAAGGAGAGTCATGGGACACAGGGGACCTCGTCACCTTGGAAGCATTGAGCGCAGATAGACCGTGGCAAGCGCGCAGAATGCGGACTCGCGCGCTTCAAACAATGAGCCCCGTGGCAAGAAGTCCCACATTAACTGGGTGGCTGTCAAGGACCTTAAATTAAGTTACCGTAATGGACATGAGCATACATGGTACTCAATATGGTCTCCCCAATGTAGTAACTCAAATCAAGTTCCTCAACAGCAACCCAGTAAAGAGTATGCGGTCATCATTCAACACCAACCGCACTACCGCCGCTTCGACGGTGAAGGACAGAGGGAGCAGATGCTATTTTAAGACATGAGGAGAGCCAAGCGATGAGTCCAACTGCCCCGCCCATGCCAATATTTGGAGGAGAAACCTTTGGCGACTACACTTTCAACCCCTATACTGCATGTAGACACCGTAGTTATCTGCAAAATCTCTTACCCTAAGGGTCCAAGGACTCAAATAATAGGGTTGTAGGGCCCAAATACCAAGGTTATTATGGTATTTGGGCCCTAAAGCCCTGTTATGTGGGTCCCTGGACCCTTAAGGTTAATGCAGCCTGCGAAGTTCCCATGCCAGGATGCTACGTTAAAGGAGCTCAGGCGTCCCTCCGTTAGACCAGCACAGCGGACCCAATTCCTGGGTTGCTGTTAAGGAACTTAAATTAAGTTACCATAATGGGTATATATATATAGTTCATAATGGGTATATAGGGTATTTAGGGTTTAGGGTTACCATAATGGGTATATATAGTTAAAAAAATAGGGTTTCCCCAATATAGTAACTTGATTTAAGTTCCTTAACAGCAACCCAGATTCGCCCAGTTGGATGTCACATCCTTGGGCCGTTGGGCACACTTGGGTTTAGGGTTGAAGGTTCTCAGCATTCAAGATCCATTGCCTGGGACCCCTATAAACGGAATCCATTCAGGTAGTCCAGCAAAAGGGGCCTGCCTTGAAATTAGCATGTTCTTTGCCAATTGGGTGTTCCTGTCAAGAAGTCTTAGTGTTGCAGATGCCTTGAGTCTTGAGATATCTTGAAGCAATATGCCACGCTGCAGGAAAAGCATGCAAAGCAAGCACATCGACCTCCTGATCCTCCTGATCTGCACGATTTGTAAGCAGAATTACTTGCGGATCCTTTGGGGATGGAGTTTTACGTGCAGCTGCGTGGTCTTTCTGCAAAACTTGTAGCAGCAGATGATGCTCTTGTCACAGGGGCTAGGTATTCCAAGCCCTTCAAAGACAGATGCACTCGCCAAATCATACTCAACGCAATCTTCTTTGGTCTTTTTGAGAGCTTTCTCAAAGCCGGCAGTAGGGAAACTAGAGCAGATGCAGCAGATAGCATCATTACGTATGCTATCAGGCTAATATTTTCAAATTGGTGGCTTAATATGGACGAACGTGTCCACAAAAACGGGCATCAGGAGTGAGGGTGTTGATCGGCATCAGGGTTCAGGCACGATTGGGTAGAACTGCAAGCTTTGGAAACATAACCGGCAACTTGGTGGGATCAATCCTAGCCACAGTGGCTGATTACCATCTCCCCGCAGTTGCATGTCCTGAAGCTTTTGAAAAGCCGGACATCTCTGCACACACATGTCCTGATGCCTCTGAAGAGTGTTTTCATCTTTTCACTGTCAAGAGGCGTAATCCAGAAGATGGCTTTCAAACCAATCTGCGCCACGCCTGCAGCTGCAGATAAGATGGGACATGTGCACCCATGGGCTTAGGGAGACCACAGCTGATTTGTGGCACAGCTCCAGCTATAAGCTTTATTAATGCGCGTTTGCTGATGCCCGCAGGCTTAGGCAGCTTTGCGTGATGGCAAGCTGACGGCACGTCCTCCTTTCAGAGCTCCACACCAATAATTCCGAGCCGTTCTACAAAACCCCTACAACCCTCCATAGTCCCTAGGTAGCCGGGCCTCCAGTCGAAACTCATACTGCAGGCCAGAAAAGAAGCAGCGTTCAGCCGCGCGTGGTTGGATGCCAAGCCAGTGGTTCGTAGCTCGCGCATGCAGGCATCGACCAGCGGATAGCCTTGAGACAGACAGCCATCGCTTCTAGGGCGCAACGAAGCCTGAAAACAACTCTGCAATGGAGTTGCTTCTTGCTGCTACAGGGCGGACAGGGCCCAAGCTTGAGTTCCAGTTTTTAGCGGCTTCTGAGACTCTTCCACATGAGGCCTGCATTTCTGGAAAGGTATGGGAGCAAGAATGCGTGGGCGTATGGTTTGTTAAACGTCTACAGCTGTGCATGTGCATGCTGTTATTTCACCAGAGAAACCCGTACACCGTAGGACTTGCAATGGCACTTGTATTCTTATTCGGCTTACCAGTAAGTCCCAGTGGCCAGTTCGACCCTCGGACCAAAGCTTGAACATGCGTACATCTTGCTTCCAGTTTCTCCTTGGCTGCAGAAAGAACTTCCACTAAGGAAGCTGTGCTTGTTGCATCACCAAAGGTAAACAAGAGTAGAACCCCCGAGTTGTTCTTCCGTACTTGCCATTTCTCGACTGGAGAAAACATATTGAAATTATGAATGGTTCAGCCTGTTGTTGAAGTATGGACCACATACAACCATCAAGAAAGGAAAGCCCATCGTTCTTTTTGTAGTATGGTTCCTTGGGGCCACATTTCAGAAGGGCGATATATCTGGACCTTCTGGGTAAGTGATGCCACAAACCTGTCAAAATACTCTCCGCCACTCCTGTCCACCCTCCCTGCTTCTAGCCGCCTGTAGAGCAATATGTGCTTGGGAATCGGTAGCCCCTTGCAGTTCAGCAACCAAATTTTACAGATGATTCCCACCCTTCCCTACTAAGCCAAAATGAGCTGTCACTTGTCTCCATGGCTCCGGTAGCCTTTCACGCCACCTTCGCGGAAAATGCCAATACCTTGGCGCTCGCAATATCCCTGCACTGACCCTAAAACAGGGAACAGCAAGAATATATATATATAGTAGGAATAAACATAGCAAGCCGCCTCTAGGGTCCGTATATTCCTATTACATTACTATATATTACTTCGTGCTTAGTGTCTCCATATTAGTCCTTTTAGAACTGAGTTCTCCGTAAATCTATCGGTACAGAGAGTTTCTCGCTTGATTTTGTTGAAAATTGTCTTGGGCCTTGAGGGAACAGAAAAGAACATCCCTTGGTTCACTCATTGCTCATTGTCAAAAATTGGGCAAGACATGCGAATCGCGTTGCTTTTTTGAGCCTATTCTTGGAGAGAGGGCCGTTCATTCAAAGTTGCTTTGAAAACAAAAGCAAAAAGCGACAGAGCCATTCCGTCTCCTGTGTCGCGCCTACACCCAGATCAAGTTGAGTTTCAATCCACCATCCAACGCAATCTGTACAGACTTACGGACTTGAAGTCCACACAAAACATCTACAGCAAACCCATATGAGCCCTGGACTACATTTGTAGTATATCCCTTGCTAGGTCGCCCCCTAAAACCCTAAATGTTCCCCCTATAGGTCCCCCCCAACCTAAATTCAGTCCGTAGCTCATACACGGTGCCATAGGCCTTGAACCCGTGTTGCGGCAGAGGTGCCATGCTTTCCAGACAGAAAACGGAAGAAATCGCGCCAGGTCAGTTCGACCACCATCCGCTGAGTGTGCGGGCTGTCTGGGTTGTCAGATTCATAGCGGCAGACTTCTTCAAACACCTCGGAAAAAACGTCGGCTGTGGGCGTAGTATCAGCATGTGATATAACTTAGGAATACATATAAACACATGTATGTGTAGGTTATCTATCCAGGTGTATACACATGACATACGTGCTAGCTGGGGAAGGTTTGTGCTGAGGTGCACAGCGTCCAGGGGTAAAGGCATCAAGGGCCATAGAACCCTCAAGTGCTCCGAGTTCAGGTATTGAAACATCTGAAACAGAACGCATTTGTTACCTCAAATGCCAATGCATTCGGGCATTTTGACCCGAAAGGGTGAAGTACACCTCCCCTAACAAACATAGAACCGTCCTGGCAGCAAAGGCACACACACAAGAGCTGCAAGTTTGCTTGGAGGGAGGTTTGGATCTTGCCCAAGTTCGGGTGTCCCTGCATACCCCAAAACAAGATAACTCTTACTCTAAACAAGATGGATTTCGGAAATGAAAAACCCAAAGTTTCGAAAACTTGCCTTCAATCCCCTTCCCATGCTGTCACGTCCACACTGCAACCAATACCTCTTCACCAGGATATTCTACCATGTTGATGGGGAGTCTTAACGTCATAAGGGGTTGGGACTCTCTGCGCTCCACGGACCAGGTGTTCCTCAGTATTGTACTCGCCGTACCATAATGGAGGGATTAACATCAAAAAGCAAGAGGGTTTGGATTTCACTAGTTAATTTGAAGTCAAAGGCAACTATGATGACTATTGGGAGGACCAGATAAGCCTGAACCCTAACACCCGAAACCGTAAACCCCAAATCCTAACACCTTAAACCCGAACTTCTAGCACCCTTCACCCTACAACGGAAAGGACTCTTTGTGGAAGTAATGGGCGAAAATTTCTGGATGTTTGCACGACGCGAAAGTCGCCTCGCAACCCTAAACTCAAAGACCCTAACAGCCTATAGTGCTCCTTAAGTAGATAGACTCTGGCTTTGGGCATATCCTTATAAGATCCCGATACACCCATCTACGTAAGGCGGAGTATACTTACACGCGAAATCCTACCGCCATCTTGTTTGGGTAGCAGCTCGTTCGGCCACCTACTAAACCCGAAACCCTACCCAGAACCATGAGAATACCATACCTAAACCCCAAAAGTATGTAGAATAATGGCCTTTTGGGCTACATTAATGGGTTTTGGGCCATTATCTTACCTACTTCTAGAAT